GGCTTAGTGACACTTCCCTGGGGAGCCTGTTCCAGTGCCCAGTCACCGTCTGGGTGAAGAATCTCTTTCTAATATTTAACCTAAACTTCCCCGACACAACTTCAGGCCATTCCGTCAGTCCTGCACTGGTGACCACAGAGAACAGATCAGTACCTGCCTCTCCTATTCCCCTCACGGGAAGTTGTGACTGCAATGAGGTCTCCCATCAGTGTCTTCCTCTCCAGCCTGAACAGACCAAGTGACCTCAGCTGCTCCTCAAATGGCTTCCCCTCAAGGCCCTTCACCATCTTTGTTGCCCTCCTTTGGACACTCTCTAACAGCTCAATATCTTTCCTATATTGCTGTGTCCCAAACTGCACACAATATTCAAGGTGAGGCTGCACTAGTGCAGAGCAGAGCGGGAGAATCCCCTCCCTCGACCAGCTGGTGATGCTTTGCCTGATGCTCCCCAGGACACGGTTGGCCCTCCTGGCTGCCAGGGCACTGCTGACTCATATTCAACTTGCCATCAACCAGGATCCCCATTTCCATGGCACTGCTTTCCAGCATCTCATTCCCCAGTCTGTATGAACATCCAGGGTTGCCCCATCCCAAGTGCAAAATTTGGCACTTTCTTTTGTTGAAATTCATCTGATTGGTGATTGCCCAGTCCTTTAATTTGTTGAGGTCTCTCTGCGGGGACTCCCTGCCTTTGAGGAAGTCAACAGCTCCTCCCAATTTTGTATCATCTGCAAACTTGTTTAGTATCCCTTCCAGTCCTGCATCCAAGTTATTTAGAAAGCTGTTGAAGAGCACAGGGCGTAGGATGGAGCCCTGTGGAACTCCACTGGTGACAGGTCACCAGTCTGATGTCACCCCATTCACTGTTACCCTCTGTGCTTGACCCGTGAGCCAACTGCTCACCCACTGCATGATGTGTTTATCCAGCTGTGTGCTGGACAGTTTGTCTAGCAGGATCTTGTGAGAGACAGTATCAAAAGCTTTACTGAAATCCAAAAAGATTACATCAGCTGGCTTCCTTTGATCAACTGTGTGAGTTACCTTGTCATAAAAGGAAATCAGGTTGAATAAGCAGGACTTTCCTCTCATGAGGCTGTGCTGGCTCTGACCCATGACTATGTTGTCTTTCAGCTGTTTTTCAATACTTCCCAGAATATTCTTCTCCACAACTTTACCATGCACTTAAAGTGAGTCCGTAGTTTCTGAGGTCCTCCTTCTTGCCCTTCTTAAAAACTGGGACAACATTCACCAGCTTCCAGTCAGCTGGGACATCTCAGGATTCCCAAGACTCCTTAAAAATCATTGAGTAACATTTTGAAATAATATCAGCTAACTCTTTGAGGATTCTGTGATTAATTCCATCAGGCCCCATAGATTTCTAGGGATCCAGCTGGAGCAGCAGATCTCACACAATTTCAAGGTCGACTGGGAGTTGGATCATTCTTGCAGTCACAGTCCTCCAGCTCAGGGCACTGAGATCCCCTTGGTCCATCATCAGTGTTGAAGACAGAAGCAAAGAAAGCATTAAACACATCTACCTTGTGTCTGTCCCTGTTTGTGAGATGACCATCCTCATCCTGTAATGGACCAATGATATTTCTATGCTGCCTATTGACATTAATATATTTGAAAAAACAATTTTTGTAGTCCCTCACATTTCTGGCCAACTGCAACTCCAGTTGAGCTTTGTCTTCATGATTTTTTTCCCTATAGTGACAAGCAGCATCTCTGAATTCTTCTCATGTGACTTGACCTTGCTTCCACTGGGCAAACAGCTTCCTTTTTTGCTTAATTCCAAGCAAAGATTTCTGTTCAGCCAAGGCAGCCTTGTGCTTTGCCTGCTTGACTGCCAGCATTTGGGAATTGCTGCTCCTTTGCCCTTAGGAGATAATGTTTAAAAGTGACCAGCATTGATAGTAACCTCAAACCAACCCAAATAACCAATCCAAATAACCCCAAACCAACCTGTGTCCCAAAATAGTCTTAAGTAGCTCTATCTAGAGACTCAGTGGCAAAGTTTTTATGGCCCTCACAGAGAAAAGGTCAGCATTTAATACTTAAACTTGTGTTGCTACCAAAAAGTAGGGCTAATAAAAAGTAGCAGGGCAGATGCATGTGAGAAGTTGAGAAGCTTAAACAGGTTCTTCAAGATTGTTTTTCAAATATGCTTAAGCTGTTACAGTAAAATTTTGCTTATAATAGGTGTAAAAGAAGACAGTAAGGAAATTTACAGGTTTGCTTAATGATAACAGTGTAAAATGATATGCTGGGTTTCCAAGACAATAAAAGAACAATCTTTTGCTTGGTCAGTCTTTGCTACTGGATGATCTTTAGGATTCCTTCCAACCCAAACCATTCTATGAGTGTATGATTCCCTGCTAATGATGCTTAGAAGATGCCAAAAAGACGTGTATTCTTTGTAACAGATAGATCAAAGCTGTTAGATGTATTTGAAGCAATTATGAGGTCAAGTTGATTAGTTGTTAATATCTTGATGCTAATATTCTTCCCGCGCCGAGGTGTGAATAAACTGAAGCATGTTCACACCCAGGGGATGTGAAAGTATGAAGTTACTGAACTGTAATCTCATTGTTAACAGCTGCTGTGCCAGTGGATTGGCAGTTTGCCACTGTAACTCCCATCTATAGAGTGGGCTCTGGAGGGAGCTGCAGACCAGTGAGCCTGACTGCTTCCATACTTAGGAAGGTGGCAGTCAGTCTTTAGGAAAAAATGGTGCTTGGAGAGGGGTTAAAAAAAGCAACCAACCAACAAACCCAAAAAAACCACCAGAGAGAAACAGCACTAAGCATAGATCAACACAGTTTTGTTGGGGAAGCATTACTGTGACTCCTTTAAAGGGAAATCCTGCTTCATTAACCTGCTGGAATTATGGAAGAGTGATAGTAACTATGTGGTAACAGTAATCTGATCTGTATTTTTCAGTTGCCTTTGACAAGGCTCCACATGAAAGATTAAAAAAAAGAAATTCCATTGGTGTGAGATTGGAGGAAAGGTCCTTTTAGCAACAGGGAACCAGTTAAAGCAGAAGAAACAAAGCGTAGTGCTTACATGCCACTTCTAGGGTGGAGAATTGGAATCAGAAACTGTTAGGCTTGCTCTCTTTCCTGAGTAGCATCAGCTTTTGCCTCTGCTGGAGACAGAGCACTGGTGATCGATGGACCTGGCACTGGGCTAACCCAGTTAGGCATTTCTAACATTCATGCAAGCCAGTCATTGACTTGTATGGGTTGGATCTTGTATTGTATATTGTAATTTCTTGTCCAGACTTAACTGAAATTTTTCCAGCTTAAATGTATCATAACATAAGTTGGAGACTATTTCAGACATATTAATTTTTTTGGAGGCACTTAGATATTCAGACTATAAACCTACTCCTTTACTTATTTCGTATGATTTAGTTACTTCTTCATGTGTTTCATGAGCCTAAAGAAAAATCTTTATGAAAAGTTTGCTCTTAAAAATCTTATACAATCATCGTGTGCTTGTCAATTAGTGTATAGAAAGGCATTATATATGTTCATAAACATTTTCATTCAGATAATGTTTTTGAAGTTGAAAACTAACTTGTTCAGAAGATAGAGGTTCAAGCAGGAAGCAGATATGTTGGATTCATTATGTAATGATTTATGTTGTTCATTATGTTGGATTTAATTATGTAAACAATGTTTTTTCAAGGAAATATTTTGCCATTCAGTGCAAAAAGTTAACACGCTGTAAGGAGTTAGGACAGTGTGGAGACAAAGGCCACTGTAGCCTGTATAACAGAAATTGATGATGACTGACTGAATATTGGAGGATGAAAGAAGAGCACAGAAAGTCAGCCAATGAAGGCAGCTGAGTGATCCTGAAAAACCAGTTGGATTCTTATATATCATGCAAAGCAAGTTACTTTAACCTTTTACGTTTATAATTTTCATTGTAATTCATGTTGTACAGCTGAGTCTGAGATGCGTATGATGTATAATGTGCTGTAACATACTGCGTATACTGGAAGAACTTTTTCTTTAGACCTTTCCTTAAGATAGTTTGGCCAGAGTTTTTTATGCCTTATCTCAGAGGGCAAAGTAGGGTAAAGTATAAATTTCCTGTGAAAAAGGTACTGCTGTTCAGAGTACAGCAGAAATAACTGTGAGAAAACTAGCAGTCCAACTTTTACAAAAGAGCTAAAATTATGTGTGTTTGTATATGATATGTGTTTATATTTTAAGTGAAAGGTGCAAATTAAATGACTATGCACTGTTCTGTGTGCTGTAGGATCCTTGGCTAAAATGGGTGGGGATTTTATTGCTGAAACAGTGTGCACCTATATAGTTAGAGATTGCATCAGAAAACACATGTATTAATGAACAGTTAAAATTCATGTCTTTCATTCTAGCATTTCCCGATTTGACTTTGAGACTTTAGCACTGGTATCCTGGTGACTTTATTTGTTTGAAATTTTAATAAATTGAAAAAGACTGATTCAGGTATTTTGTTCTGCTGGTTGATATTACAGAATAGAGTATGGTAGTAATATACTTGTAAATCAGGGCTGGAGAAGGGGAGGAAAGATTTTGTTAATAAGTTTCTCAAAGAGTTGCTAAATGCTACAATATATCTGCGCAAGTTTGGCTGGTGGTTCCCTATGGGATAGAGTACTTATTCCCATCCTACTGGTCGTCTTTTCATCTCGGGCATTTTCTTACCTAAAAAGATCAGCTGAAACTTCTTAGTGTATGATACGATCAGCGTTGTATCTGAATTTTGGAAGTTCAGATGATTTGTAAATTTTAAAAAGCTGTTGTACAAATGACTCCTTATATATGAAGTATGCTAAGTGTTATCAAAATAGAACTAACCTGAGTGTTGACAACTTTTTTCCCAGTAATATATTGATATGGTTTTGGGTTAATTTTTTGAATGATTTTAGTGGCATCGTGTGATTGTGTGGCATATGTGATTGTTCTGTGGTTCTTATTTTCTTATTTCCTCTTTTGTAGACTGAAACTTGAAGAAGAATTGGATCAAATGAAAATACAGTAATCTGTGGATAAGTTCACAATACAGGATCTTAACTATTTTTACAACAAAAAAGGGAAGGTATAGTGTTTTATATGTGTGTATGTAGTTGTAGTGGGTTGACCCAGGCACTCACCAAAGCTGCTCTGCAACTAAACAGGGGAGAGAAAATATAGCAAAATATACATGAGTTGTATATCAATATGTATATGTAAAGTCTAAAATAAGTTTATATGCTTATGAAGTTCTCTTCAGAATCTGAAATGGTTTTTGCATGTTGAGATATAGTGATATAGAAATTTGGTGCTAATTCAGAATTCTATTTTAAAACTAGTCTGATAAAGTGTGTGAATTTGAATGTAAACCAAAATGGTGAAATTTGTGTAAGAATTTCATGAAGATATTGATCATCAATATCTTCTTTTAAATTTTTACAATCTTTACAGTAGTTAATGGTTCTATGAAGATGAGTCTTTGTCAGTCGGCTAGGTAATATGTTACTGTTGCCTCTCCATTACTCCTCTGATTCTTTGTATTATTGGCTGTTCTTGAATCATCTAGGAGAAATATTCGAGTTCATAGTTACATTCATCTGTGTATTGCTTCTCTGGTGAATTCTTTATGCACAGTGTTGTGCAAAGGAAAGTAGGAGACTTGGTGAAGTACTCTACATGTTCTTAACAATAAAGCCTTACCATTCTTTATCATAGTTTTCTGCTGGTGGCTGTTTTCTGTTTTCTATTTTCTTGTGATAATGTTGATCACTTGAATGAAAAAATAAAGTCTTTTTTTCCTTTATTTTAAAATTTTATCTCTAAAACTAAGTGGAAATATCAAGCTGCTGAAAACTAAAAGTTACTGTTTTCTTTCATACTACTTCTCATATGTTACGTTCATAGCCACAGATAGAGCTGAAGGGAGCTAGTGAAGGTTTTATATACTGACTTTAAAAATTGCTGCTTCATTTTTTCCAATTTAGTCAGTCTTTGTACAGAAAGAAAGGGTAAGACAACCAGCGGTGAGAAGGAGTTGAGGGCCTGCTGAGCAATATCCATCCTTTTCCAAAAACTAGTGAAGTCTATAAAACTGCCAGTTTTTGACATGTTTAGTGCTTTAACAGTTAGTCTTTTATTCCTTCTTTTTTCATTATCTTTCAGATAAAAATATCCTCTTTTAAAAGCTTGTGGGAGAAGTCACAGTTCTGGTTTGGTTATTGGTATGATGATTAACTGTTCTTTTGTTGGGACTGAGAAAAAGGGTTAAACTACTGCTGAAGCATGTTGGGCAAATTTTATTTACCTTTTCCAGCATGTGTTGTTATAGGTATCATTTAAATGGACAGGAAACTTCTGATAAGATTCCAGTCCAAAGATTCATATTACACAAAACCTTTTTAGCACATAGGACTGAGATGATTCCAACCATTTCCAAACTTTTACCAGTGGAAGTGTAAAAAAATAGCTGCTCATGAATTTCCTTGGTTTATCAATGATGTTGGAATTTGCTTTCACCTTAGCAGATACCTGTTTTCATCAGGCATTCTAATATCAGAGGATAAATTCTGTAAAAGAGACAGAGCTTTCCTGTATTAAAATAGTGCATATTGTCTTATTTGATATCAGTTTTGTTTGTCAGGAAGAAGTACTGGATAGCTTTGTTGTTCTTCCATATAATTTTTCAAACCGTGGTGGTCAAAGATGAAGGAGGTCAGGGCAAAAGGAAACTGTTCCTGCACTTCCCAATTTCTTCCCATTCTTACTTTGTTGTCCAGTTTTTGTCTAGTAGTCATCAAATCCAAATTCACTATTCATGCTATTCATGTCATTATTTGTATATTAAGGTAAAGAATGTGTTGGCAGGTAGTCAGGTCATTTCCTCCGAAAGCAGGATAGTGGATCCATCAAATCCTATTCAGAAAAATAACAAGTGCCTTCTTAAAAGACAGTAAACTGTTGGCCCACTATTCCTTCAAGGAGGCAGTTTGAAGACTTCTTTCATTATGAGACTCCTAACTCTACTTATAACTTACAGCTTATATGTGAGAATGGCATTCCCTTCTGGTCTTCACAGTGGTGTTATCCGCCAGCTGGTTTTTTCCACCCAGTACCATGGTAGCTGCAGTCAGTAACACCGTGACTTTGTGCACCATAGCACCTTCTGTCTGTCAGGGAAATCCTTCACCTGGTATGTACTACAGGAAAAAATGTCATTCTTTCGATAGTTTATATAGGTTCTATATGGTTTATATAGTGAGTGACTATTACACAGCTCTATAATATTTCTTACAATCCTAAACATCCACTGGTCAAATTATGTGACCAATACATCTGTTCTAGAACAAGCAGCAGTCACAAGTATTGAGGCCATGTTGCTGAGATCACAGCTGCAATGGGCAGGGCACGTCTCCAGGATGAAGGACCACCACCTCCCTAAGATCCTGCTTTATGGTGAACTTGCCACCGGCGGCCGCAAGAGAGGAGCTCCGAAGAAAAGATATAAGGACTCCCTGAAACAACATCTCAGCCTTGGCCATATTGATCATCATAACTGGTCTACTCTGGCCTCCAGTCGGGAGACCTGGAGGCACACCATCTATAACACAGCTGTCTCCTTTGAGAACGCATGCAGGATCACCCTTGAGGAGAAAAGACAACGCAGAAAGAACCGTGCCTTGCGGAATATACCATCTAAGGAGTCTTTCTGCTGCACCTATTGCAATCGGATATGTCTGTCTCGTATTGGCCTCATTAGCCATCAGCGTGCCTGTAATAAATGTGGATAGAGCCTTCCTTAATCTTTGTTCGCGAAGCCTAGCCATGAGACATGAGTGATTGAGATAATATTTCTTAAAACTGGTATTTTTTTCTTTGTGTGCAAAGACTTTCTGCAAATACTAATAGCGAACTGTGGTATCATAGTTCAAGTACCATTTTGGCAGCAGTGTTGAACTAACTTATCATCAGATTTGGTGACTATTAATTAGGAATTAAGTGTTACGTTCTGAAGCTGACAGTTAACTATGTTTTCTCAGTGGGACACAAGTGTGCTTCTGTAAGACCATGGTAATTTGATGACTGAAGATAGTGGGGTTTATGACTTGTGGGTCTATTCCTTGAGGGAGAAGTTGGTATTTTTTTATGTAGCAATATGACAGGTAGAGCACATGTCTTGCTGAGTAGACTGATATGATGTATCTTTCTGCTATGGCAGACAGACAGCTAGTTACAGGTGATGCTTTTTCATTGCCTCCCTAACCAATTCCAATGAACACTTACATAACAATTAGAAGGGAGGAGAGGAGAAGGGGCTTGAATGGGCCATTTATTTTCTGCTCAATAGAAAGGGTTATGTATCAGTGACCTTTGGCTTTACTTGTATTTACATTCCTTGTGTCTTCTATGATAATACTGAACATGTATAGTATTTTCTATCTATTTTGCAGCAGTATTCTTTATTATCTGCATATAATATGTTTATTTATAGAGTTTTAAATTGCATTTTAATACATCCACATAATAAACATAACACCTTGTGTGCTTTGATCAGTTTCTTTGACTATGGGAAATAATTTTTTTTTCAGTGGAGTACAGTAAATGCTGATATAAAAGCTACAACAGACATTCAAATGAGTGAATATTTAGAAAAAGATGAAAAGCATGTTCATATTATCTTTGTGTGTTACTTAAAGAATGTTCTAAATGTAGGCAGTACCACTGTGCTGGGGGACTGGAGTCTGAAGTAACATGGGAACTAGCATATTAATATCAAGGTAAAGGTACATATTCCCCAGATGCATAGTTTTACCTTTTTCAGCTTTTATTATCTTTAGAATAGTGTTCCATTTATTTCATGAATACAGAAGTATTAATTGGCCATGACACATTCCAAAGACAAAAGAAAGGTCTAATTCACTCTAACAAACTTGTTAGTCACTGTTTATATCAAGAGGATTGTGAACCTACAGAGAGTAACACTGTTTTCTTCTACACTTTCTTTGTTTATAAATCAAAAGTTTTTAAGTGACCTACAGTGTCTGCTTGTAGTTTGAAATATTACTTCTAAAGCAGACCTTCACCATGTAGCACAGATATTTATCCCTTAAGATTAATTTTTTTAAGTTAATTTGGAGGAAAGAAGGACTAGAAAAGAAATATGAATATTGTGGTATTTTTAGAGTGTTGGGATTCTTTTGTTCTTTAATGTAGTATTTCATATTCTAAGATGAAAACCTTCTGTGGTGTGTAATTGGACATTTCTCTGCTAAGCTCTTGATTAAAATCTAAACAGAATGTGGTTTACTTCTGATTGACTGTATGTCTTAGTGCTTGTAAACATTTTCTTAGCATTCTTCTTTCTCAATAGATCTAATTTTTAACTTGGGATTTTTAGTACCTAAAGTGTATAGCTGTCTCTGACACTGATGCTTAGATTCATGTTTACTCTCATTAGTTGTGTCAATTTCTAATTGTTATGATTTCACAGTATTTCAGTGGAATGGTTTGTATGATTCATCTGGTGAAGTACATGATCTTTAACTTAACAAAAACCAGGGTTTAAAGTTTTCATCCATCCTAATTCAGTTACTGTTTGCTTTGTTCACCAATCACTCTGATCCTCCTAGCAGGGGACAAGACCTAGAGAACAAAACTGGTAGTGACTGTGTAGATAAAAAGGCAATGAATTCTGCTTTTAAGGCATAGAGGGAATAGTCTATGAAAGAATAAAAATTGGAATGAAAGTGTAGTGTCTTTAACCTGCAGATCTATTGTACCTTTGAAAAGCTTGTACTCTGAAAAAAACATACTGTGATGCTACAGAGATTCTTCTATAATAATTGAAGAGAGGTCACTCTTTAGAAAGTGACCAAAAGGCTTGTTAAGAAAACAGACCACATTATAAATAATTGTGGAAGTAAATAATGCATTTCCTTAAAATGTCTAGGGATTGTTTTAGTGATGTATTAGATACCACAATGTATTTTATTTGTTCAATGATAGAGATGTGTTATTTATATTCTGACAGAGCCACTTTTTAAACTTAGTGGAGATGATGGGGTCAAAAACAATACTCCGGTGAGGAATATGAAAGAAGTTTCACATCAGATGTTACAGAAGGTAAGATACCAACCTCAGCAAACAGACCTGAATTTTGGTATAAGAATCCTATATCTATCTATATGTATGTACACACACACACACACACACACACACACATATATATATATGTCAGTGATCATAAATTTAAGCAATGGTTTTCATTTTCTAATTTAAAAATGGGGATTTACGGGATTGCATGCAGAAATTTACTCTAGGGAAGTAGCTGTGAATGTATCATTAAGATAAACATGGCTAATGTCAGAGAAAATGAAAAGAATGTTTAGAGGTGTAATGTTAAAAAATAACAAATTATCTAAATTGGAAGTAACATATGCTTAGCATTTTGCCACTGAAAGTTCAGGAACCTTAATTTCTTTTGCTGAGTATTTAACTTTACATGGTATCAGGTGTTTATCTCCATAGAGCTCTTGCTACAGAATAGAATTGATGCATAATAGTGATAAATCCACCTTTTGTTGTATTTAAATTTTAGCACTATGTTGCATATGAAAATATTTTCTACATATTTGAGTCTATCACTCTTTTCACAAGATAGTACCGTATGCATGTAGTGTTCTTTAGCTTAGCAAATAGGATAAGTATTTTATCTTTATTGATCAACATTCTACATGTTTTGCCTCGCACAGTAACAAGATGCTCTTAACTAGTTGCTATTTGTATTGATCATTGTAACATACAGAAGTAGTTTAGTATGTTAACAGGTGTTCACTTCAGAGGGCTCACTTGTATTTTACCATATGTTTTGTTTGCTTGCAAAGAAAAAGCATCCTTCAAACAATATTGTGCCTTTTGTTTGTCATTTTGCAAAACTATTTGTTTAATTACTTATGAATCTTTGAAAGCATGCTTAAATTAAATAAAAACGAATCTATAACTTTGAATGTCAGTTCAGGTATGTCTATTTATTTTTTATTTGTGAATTAACTTGTAGGGAGTATGGTAATTTACAGCAGATGATGTGATTGCATATATTTGTAACACTTGCCATATGGTCAGGCAATGAAGGCTGTCATCTCGTTATTACTGAATGACAAACATCATGTTAAAATAATAACACACAGAATAGGAAGTGCTCACATTCATTTATCTTAAGGTAGAGTGAGTAATTGAAATAATATGAATGCTACCATCTGAAATGTCACACAGTTTATGCTTGCTTATCATCTATATTTCAGAACTATAATTTTGTTTGCCAGATACTACATAATTTTTATCTCTATGGATATACAGAGTTATGATGGTACCTTGGGGAGAGGTGTAGAAGCTTTTCATTGTTTGTTTCCTTCCAGCTGTCACACATGACTTTAAGTACTACTGAGTGCAAAAGGTTGCTTTAAAGAACTGAGAAAATAATAGCAGAAACTCAGTTTAGGAAGGTGATTGAAGAAAGGTATTGATCTAACACCTTGTCACTGGGGAGGAAAGTGCAAACTGCAATTTTTATCATAAACCTTGGTTTCATTGAAGCATTTGAAAAAATCCCTTTTATTTCTAATTTCACCAAGTTACTTTATGTAGCCATAAGGCAATGTCTCTTCATTGTGGGAGTGCTGTGAATTTCCATAATGGAAACTAGCAATGCAGAGGCATTCATATTAAAGATTTGCTATCAAACGCAGAAATTCAGTGTCAAATTCACGAATGTATAGGAAGTTTGAGCAGCTCTTATCCGAATTTACCCTGTACGTTAAGACCTCTCATTTATCTGAATCACATCTGTGGTACCCACTTCGTAATAGATTCCATAAATTTTAAAATAATTCAAATACATTGGGAAAATGTCCTTGTAAAAACATGTAGCATTCATTGAGAAATAGTATGGTTTCAGTATTTTCAGTGTCAAAGGTAGTTTTGACATGTTGTCTTGCTACAAAGTGAAGGAACTGGCCAGTATTTTACAAGGTGACAAGTTCAAGTTAGCCTTGTGCATTCTTGAAATATAGTCTTTCCTAACCATATCCAAAGAAATCTAGAGCCCCTGGCACTTCCCCTAGGGAAAGAGGGGGAATGCATCTTGTACAAAGCTAACTAAAAAAGCATTTCTTCAAAATACTGGAGTAAGTGGTTACTGAGCACAAAACTTACTCTAGTGCCATCTTCAAGCTTCTGGGGAAATCTCATAGACTAAATATTCATTTTAATATCTGCTAAAATTAAAATTGACCCTTTTTGCTGGAAATTGAGAGGTTTAATTGCTGCTTTATGCAAATATTCCAGAACATCATAGAGAATCAGTTTATTTTTAATGACCTTGAATATGTGTAAACCTCAAAGGACTTTACAAACAAAGCATATATATCATATATAGGTAGAACACTTCTTCAGAATTTATATGAGAAGCTTGTAAAGTTAAAGTCTCTTAATTGAAACAGGATAGATTTTCATTTCAGTGAATAGAAAAACATATTAGCTTTCATGGTTTTAGGTGCTGAGTTTCTGATATCTCTTGCTAGGATTTGTTTGGTTTTTTTTGAAAGATAAAATTAATATTTTATGTGCGTATTTACGACACTTAAAAGAACATGTTGATTTAGATACCTAGCACAAAATTGTGTTTCAAAGTTGTAATCCTTCTGAAAATGTTTTTTTAAATTCAATTAGTATGTATAATCAAATCAGTATTATTGCAGCTAAAATGTTTTCATCTGCACTACATTAGAATTATTTTTAATTTAAGGACTATAGATTGCTTTTGTCATTGTACTTCATGTAATATTATTGTCATATAAAAATATATTTGAGAACATAATTATTTTTTTTACTGGATGGGCTGAAATATTGTGAATGCTATAGTTGCTTTTGTTAGGTACAACAACTAGAAAGAAGATTCAATGCTGTTGAAGGGGAATTAAGGAAACAGAAAGAAGTAAATAAAGACTTATTGAATCAGAAAATTTATTTGAAAGAATCTTTAAAAGTACAAAAGGAAGATGCAGTCACAAGAGAAAGAGAGCTGGAAATGCTACTTAAGAGGATTTGTGAAATAAAAAAAGAAAAATCAGAACTTCAGTTAGTGATTGATGAGAAGGAAAAAGAAGCTGCCTCTTTGAAGAGGCAAGTGGCAGAAGCTAACAGGTTGAGAAATGAAAGTGAAGATTTGCTGAGTCAAGTGCAAGAGCCGAAATGCTTGCCAGATAAAGCCAAAGCAGTGGCAACCTCTGGGCAATGTAATTGCAAGATAACAGGCACCAAGGTTAAATTAAAAACAGCCAAGGAAAAGAGCTCTTTGGGACATCATTGAGCTTTTCTCAAACAGTCCATCAAGGTTATGAGTAATGTATTTGAGAAGTTCAGTAAGGACGGCTGGGAGGATGTGAATGAAAGCAGGTACGATTCTCATTAACTTAGCCCTGTAGAGGGGACACTGTGCATATGTAAAGCACTAGCAAATGGAGATTGAATTTTAACTACTGTTGATTTGGTATTCAAAAAAAATACTGTCAGATCCTTTGAAATATCTTGGGAGGTCTTGTTCTGAGCTTATTGACTGAAATTTGCATGTGAAATTAACCACAACTGCATGAGTATTTGAATAGGTGCCAGGAAACCCAAAAGAAGGCAATGCTTGATTTCTTCCAGTGATGCTATTTTCATGCAGTCATGAGGCTTGAAATTGACAGTTTGGCAGGTTGATTTAATTTGCTGGCCCTTTGCATATTTACCACTGACAGCTAAGGATTCCCAGGCAAGCCTACTAAGTCGGTTTAGTTATCTTGTGACATGCCGACCCGGGAGGAGAAATATTTTTTCCCCTTAATTTAGTTAGATAAATTTTGAATGACCCATTTCAGCTTGCTAGCAGATGTCTACAAGCTGTTTAACATCCTTTAAATTAAGAACCATCCACACTAATTATTTCATGTGTGTTTTATGCACAGTCATTGTACTAACTTTAATTGAATGATGGTTAAAAATCAGTTCTTTAAATGTAATTGTTACCACATACAGTCCCAGTCAGGAGTCACAAAGCTCTCAGAAAATTGCACTGGCAAGCTAAATAAACGTTTGGAAGTTTTACTTCTTCCATTTGTCCCTACATACTTGGGGAGGCAGCAATCGGCCACTAGGTAAATGATTATCACACCTCGTCTTTCAGGACTTTTGTCCTAACAGACTAGCAAAGAAATTTCTCAAGCCTGTATTATCCAAAATGCAGGAAGGGTGGCAAAAGAATAAAGAAAATGGAATCATTCATAGGCTTGTTGTTGTCTTTATGTGTTATATAGCAAATCAATAGTGGCAAATTAAGCCCTTCTGCTGCTTCTCCCTGTGCAAAATAAGGGGTTCCTGAACACAATATTGCGAGCAAGTAAACAAATTAAGAACCATGTAATTTGTCAGTTGATATCATTAATGTAAAGCTTATTTGTTTTTCTGTAATATTGCAGATCTGATTTCAACAGAAAACATTCATGTTTGCGCGTATGCAAATGTGGATGCACGTTTGCAGTTAGTGAGCTTTTTGTTCCATTTAGTATGTTGTTCTCTTTAAGAGCAAAATTGAGCAAGCACACTGTCATCCCACTTTGAGTTTGAAGTGGAAAATAATTGCATAGCTTCAGTTGTCATAGCTAGCCATAAATACTACTTTTGATTATTGTACAAATGCTGGCTTAGGGAATTCTTGTAATACAATAGTGAACATTTTTGAGAGGAAGGTTTCAAGATGTCAGTCTCAATAAGTTAGGGAAGTATCTTCATTTAGTTCCCTCTTCTACTTATTAGTAAATACTGTTCTTTAACATTAATACCTGCCTCTGAGTTTCTAAATTCAAGTTTCCATTTTCTAAATAGAACATTCCTTGAAAGCATTCAGGTGCAGGAAATGTGTATGTAGTTAGAAATATCTCAGTGCTACTGCAACAACTTTAAACCATTACATTGATTTCTTTTCTTATCAGTCAATAAGACATACTAATGTGTCAGGACAAGTTTTGAAAAGTATAAACATTTTGCTGTGTGAACTCTTCAATTTGAGGCCTTTTCTCTGGTTGAGTAGCCTCCATCTGTAAACCATAGATTTTTATGATGGTGCAACTTAATTTGAACTCAGTTATGTCATTTTAAATATCTTGGTTTAAAGAGTAACAAATCAAAATAGCCTTCTGTCAAGGGATTCCTTCACAAATCTGTTGGCACAAATGATGATAAACAAGCACTGATGCTATAGAAAATGATAGATCCAAGAATTGAAGTTTTAAGGTAGACGTCACTGAATATAAGAAAGCAAATAGTAATCTGAGGAAAGGCAGTGAAAAACTGACAATTTAGTGCAATTTTAAGGGAAAATTTGAAAAATAATTAAAGTTTCAAGTCTCGTTTCTCTGCATGGGAGGCAATCTCAGTGAAAGGATTACCGAGTTTACAGAATTTAAAAGCACTCCGAAGGGGTGCTAAATAGAGATTTCACTGAAGTGTGATTTTTGATTTTGTCTCAGCCAACACTACAGATGAAGTTCAATTGAAGCAAAATATTATAAAGTATTAGACATTTACTTGTTTTGTTATAAAATGTGAAAATGAAGGAAAGTAGAAATTTAGTACTTTATGAGCCATTTACAGACTTGAAATACTGTCAAGTATCTTTTCATGTATGTCACTTTTGTAGATTGTAACGAAAGCTGTCCTTTAAGAAGCAGCTGAAGTCTCAGACTTCCCTGCATTGTAGAGTGAGATTCCTTTTCACAGAGTAGAACTTTTTAAGACCATTTTGGTGATAGATTTCTTCTTTATTTATTTGTAAAATCTGTTAAATAAGTCAGCTTAGTAATGTTTGGATTTTATATTAGTTCTCTTCTTTCTTACATGTGTTAATTTCTATATGCCTAAGCATTGGCTCTTTGGAACTTTTAGTATTTATCTTGATTTTGTTTTCCTGAACATGCTGTTTTAGTGACTCTGAGATACCAAATTCTGAAAGTTTGGAAACAGTGATTATGAAGACAGTGCAAAACATTGATCCACTGCCAGACAGAAGTAAACAAAAAGAAAAAAAGTCCTGCAACACTGTTCATTTAGAAGGCAAAAACGAGCAATATAATAAAAAGGTATATAATAGAACTTACTTTGTTCTCCTGTGTAGAGTGTTGAAGTTTAATATTAGCACTGCTGTTCTGCTCATAATTAATTTGACTCTTGTTGTAAAGGGAAAATAAAATCTGCTTCCAGATATTCAGTGGATAGATTCATTATCGTTTAGAATATTTTCTGAATGATTAGTCTGCAAAAGTATTTGGAGAGGGTGTCAGGATTGCAAAAGCTGATTAAAAAATGTTAAGCTGCTGTAAGCTAGTGCTGCTGTCTCACAGGCCAGACAAAGAATGCCACAGACATCCCATTAAACTTTCTCGTAATCAGATATGCCAAACAGAACAGGCTGACCTAACCCATAACAGGGAAACAGCAACATCCCTCCCTCCCATCTAGCCAAACTGTGTGCTGACTAACCAAGTATAAACATCTCTCAGGTTGTTTGGTGTGTACTGGATGAGTTGTCTCCGTCTTAGAAAAATGCTTTTGCCTCTTGTCTATGTCCAGGAGATTTTATCTTGCGAAAAGTATACTTTTACCTTCTTCTTAGCCTATTTAAATTCATTGTCTGAGATTTGAACTGATTGTCTCATTGTTAACATCTATATACTGTTTTCTCACAGAAGAGAGCCAGCTGGTTGTTTCCCAGGTCTTTAGAGGTTCCATACAATCTGTAACAGATGACTCATTCTTGGACTTTTGAACAGTGTCTAGTACTTTTTCCTTCCTGTGTTTGCCCAAATAAATCAGTTCATGGAATTTAAAACACAAGCAGATATTTTTATTTCTTAGTTCAAGAAACAGAATACTGAAACACTGAAAACACTGCTTTAAGATAATTAGTTTGAAATTCAGTTTTATATGGTCATATAATAAAAGGTTTGAAAAAAATGTATATTTTCTTAGTCTCCAAAATTTTAAAGCAAATACAAACTCTCTGCTCTTCTTACATATTCTTGATTGTGTTATTCCATCAAAACCTTTTGGGTCAGAAAAAAATGAAAAAAAAAGGAAAATTCTTATGCAACCATCTGTTGGTATAGAATACATAGTATGAGTAGGTGCGCATGATATAAGTGAAAATCTGACGGAATGTGCTACGCTTGTTATCTCCTGCTGCTCCTGAGTGAGGACATAAAAGGCAGGCAATCCAGGAGGCTCTGTTCTCTCTTGCTCAGCCACTGCCTCTTCTATAGGCCTGTATTGCATTTATTCTCTGTTCCTACTGGAAGAGACAAGCACGGATATATCCTGATACTCATATTTAACAGACTGGTGGAATTGGAGCATACACAGAAAGCATCCGGAGAGCCCTAAATAGTTAAATATGCTTCAGCAGAACTGCTCCCATGTTGCAGGAAAAGCATTTGAAAACATGGTTTGTGAGGACAGAAGATAGTATTGAACAAAGGTTTAGTGTTGGCAGTTGGGAACCCTAACCGATTTTAACAGAATTCTTAAATCCATCCAAGGGATTTAAGGACCCTCCAGCTGTGTCATGGCATTCTCATACAAAGAAAGGCTAGAGGAATCTCCAAAGTCCTGAGCTATGACAGGGGTTAAAGATGAGATCAGTTATGACACAATGACTTTTGTCAATTTTGCCCCACATGGTATAAGTATATAATACCCTGTGCAGTATCATCAAAGTTATTGGCACTCTCTTACAACTCATACATTTATTAGAGCTTGGCCTAGAGTGGAGATCTCCACCTTTTTGCTGCAGACATGGATCGTTTGCTCGTCATCTGCTGAGACCTTAATTCTTGGTTCTTCAAATTGTTTGGTGATTGTACAAATCTAGAATTCATGCCTAAGCTATCCTGCAATGTCAGTAATCTGTTCAGTGCAGTTAGGAGTGAAAATGTTGCTCTTTGCTCTTTTAAATTTGATTAACAGCTATTTTAGTTATTAATATTTCCAGAAATATATTGCACAGTACCACATAAATTTTACAATCTGAACACTTTAAAAATTGGATAAATATTGCAGAATTCCAGAACAAAGGTGTTTAAAAATACACTCAGTGAAGTAGTACTTTGATTTTAGAGTAAGCCATGCCATTTTCATTTTACGTAAAGCAAGCAACATTCTTCTTCAGTCTCTTCTTCTGTCATCGGACATTGGATAGGTTCTGGAAACTGCTGATTTTTCAAATCATATATTTAAAAGACGTGCAATACACTTCTGTTAAACCCTGGTCAAACACAGCGATTTTATTTTGCATGTTCATATAGTTTCACTAGTTACAGCTCAGTGTCTAATCTGGTCTTCCTCCTTTTGAACTAATGAGACCACTACTCCTTTTAGTTTCACTTAAATATCTTGAAAAATAAGATACTGTAGACTGTCAAGTAATACAGACCATCTTTTTTCCCTACGAGTAAATTCAGATCTTATCTAAAAAAGTAATGGGTACATTAACGGATACTTAATTTTTCTTTGGGATTCTTCGGAAAAGGCTATGACGTACTTATAACAGTTCATTAATTCTTTTACATTTGATGGAAAAGTACTCTTCACTGGCTGATATCTGATTTTCAAATCAGAATTCATTAGAATTTGTATATTATTTGAAGTAATTTTTGTTGTTTCAATTCAACCTGGAAAAATTGACAGTGTTGTGTTTGGTGTGCCACAATGAAGAGTTGCTCACTTTGTGCTTCTCTCTTTTATTTAGTGCCATTCACAGAATAACATAATGGCCCATCTTCGTGAACGAAGATTTGGGGAAAGGTCTTTTTACCTTTCCAGCCTGCGCAATGGATTTTTTAGGTGAGACACAGCCTGCGCTGAACTGAGCCCACCCTTTAATCCTAAGGTTCATCTGCCGGGGCCAAGCAAGCTTGGACAATGGCAGTGAGGTCCTCAGGACGTAGGTTTGTTTAGAGTGACCTTCTCATAGATGGATGGCCTCACAGGCCTAACGGACTCCATCTGCCCGGGGGACTGGCTGGATTTGAACCTGGGTCGCAGAGGTGAGAGTCCTGCATGCTAACCACTAGGCCACCAGGGGTCCCCCATTCACAGAATAAAGACCTAGAAAACTTACATTCCAAGAGGAGGAAGATCTGCTGTCTTGTTGTGGTAGTTTGGCCTGGGCCTTCCTTGGTGACCAGCTTGTAACCAAGGAAGTGCTCAGATTTACCCGGTATTCCCTACGATTTTTACGTAAACTGGGGTATAAGAAGAAGGGAGGAAAGACCTTCGCTCTCTTTCCTTCCGGCGGCTTTGGAGGTGCAGATCTCCCTGTGTTGAGTCTGCTGGCTTGGAGAGTGAGGCCTGGTAAGGCCTTGTCGACCTTGGGAGGCGGAGGCCGCCGGCAGCCACCAGTCACCCCAGCGTGATTCTGCGTTGTCCCAAGGAGAGTAGTAAGATCTTCTTTGTTAATTCTTTTAGGTGATAGACCTTGGGCTACTGAGCGGGATAATATAATATATATATATATTATTTTGGTTTTTGTTCTTCCCTTCCCCTTTCCCTGTGAAATTATATATATTTATATATTTCAACTGTATATAACTGTAAATATAAGTGTAAATATATTTATATACATTACTTTGTCTCTCTCTCGTTTTCGGTTCTTTCGGTTTTTTCCCCCTCTTCTCCCTTGGTTTGGGGTGGGGGGGGGACTCCTTGTGGTGAGGTTTGGAGACTTGGCAGGGAGCCAGCTCCAAACCATAACACTTGTAACATCACATCCATTGATTCTGAGCAAAGGTAGAAATATTATATATTTTTGGCAACTTCGTAAGTAAGACTGACAAAGCATTCCTACCTACCAAAACCTCTACTATATTACACAAACCCACTGAATGCTGTTACAAAATTTGCTTGTTTAAATTTGTGTGTACTTTCAAATATTTAGCTCATTATTTTGAAGTGAAATTGTCATATAAATGACCATCAAACAGCATCTTTTCACACAGTTAATATATACTCTGTTTTTACTAAGTGTCACCAATTGAATCTACTGACTGATACGAGGCTTTTCATTACTTTTTGTTCATGTTTGCCCCTGGTAGCCAACACAGCTAATGAAACAAATTAATGTTTTTTGGCTTAGACCTTAAAAAAACCCATCTGTTAACAAGACACTGAAGACACTGAAGGCCTTATTTTCGGTAATAGCAATCAGAGGCACATTTAACTTCCAAGTCCTTGTTGAGTTTGCAGTGTTGGCACTTCAGAAAAAGTACAACTTAGAGCATTTATAGGTTGATTGTTTTTATATGTTTTATACGTTGTATGTTTTTATAGGTCAACTGTTAATTTACCAGTTTGCTTACTGAAAAATATTTTAGAGACTTCAAGAGCGTTTTAAAGGGCCAAAACAAAATCAGAAATCATGTAACTTGTGATTATCTGTCAGTTTAGTAACATGACGTTTTATGTTTAGTGAACAGAGCAAAAAGGAGAAATATCACTGTCCAGAAACCAGGCTACTCTGTTACTCTGCTGCAGGAAAGAATTAAGTCATTGCAGAAGCAGATAGCTGTTTCACAGAATGAAAAAAAGACTGCAGTGGCTTCTGTGAAGGAGATGAAAGAAACCAATGAAAAACTAACAAATCAGCTACATTTGGCTAATCGGAGAGTTCAAACTAGTAAACTGACCATAGAGGTAAAGTACTTTTTATTATGGTGTCTCACAATGTTCAGCTTAATTCTGTTGCAGTTCTCTGAAACTGTGATAACATTGATTTTTGTAGTTTAATTTATTATAGTCAAAATTATGAAAAAATATCTATTGGTATGCTTTTTGTGAGATTCTGAGTCAGCTATTGTGTACAAATGATACTGAGGCCTGATTTATTATTATATCAGCCCAATTCATTTATCCTTCTGAAAACAAAGTAGTCTTCATGGTGACATTTATGTGCATTCAAATGAGTGAGGGAAGTTTCACTTTAAGGCTGTGGTCTGCAAACTCTGCTTTGCTGAGAATCTGGTCAGTCCACAGGAACTAGCACCCATTCCTCTGTGAAGAACAGACAGTGTCTCCTTACACCCCAAGACAACTGGAGTTTTCTTCAATAGGGAGCTCAGACCAGTTCCATATCTATTTAATCCCATCTTTCTCTGTTTAGGTGGAAAGCCAGAGAGCAAAATTTATGAAAATAGAGACTAATAAACTTTGGTTATACAGCCCAAAGATGCCAGCTTTCTTCTCTGCTTCAGTCTTTGTTCCTACTTAATCCTTTTCCATGCTATTACTCCTTTCTGGTTTTCCCCATTCTCATTTATATATGTGTTTTGTGTTAATCTATATGCAGCTCCTCAGCTGGAATTCTTTTCTTTTCATACTGTAGTGATTGGCCTGCCCTTTATAGAGCTGAATCAACAAACACTTATGCAGTAATTGTCTCCTGTTGGTCACACACACATCCTGCTTCCAGAATTATAGTGCTACAACAGATGGACTTGCTGGAAGGAGGCAGACATTAAAAAAGAAATCAAATCCCCTCCCCCTCAAACTTCTTTGCATTTCTTCTTTGCACAGAAAGCAGAAGCAGTATCAGGAGCAGCACTTTTCACTTTCTTAGGGCTAGGGAACTGCTAATTTCTAGAGGAGGGAAAACCTCATTTGTGTTACTCATTTTGCATAACTATATATATGTAATGAATTGAACTGAATAGAGTTTCCAAGGTCATTGGAACCAATGAAGATCTGCCTATCTTACAAACAGTACTATAATATAAAGTTTCATGGACAGTATAAGCTTCACAGGGAATTACATATGTAATTTAGGTAAAACATTATGATTTCTCAGGCATCTTGAGGTTTTGCCTTCCTAGAAAACTACACCGTAGATGTCCATAGAAGACCACACCTTAGATGTCCATAGAAGACTAATATGAAAATTAAAATAAAAAACACCATTATCAGGAAACTGTTTAAAAAAACAGAAAAGGGAGGGGGACAAAATTTGTGTAAAGATAAGAGCTGCTGTAATGTAAAACACTGACTAAAATCAAAGTAGCTTGGCTTTAAAACCAAACCAATTTTTTTTCACTCAGTTTTTCTGGAAGGTTTAAAAAAAAGAAAAAATGGTCACCGGTCTATTTAAAGGATGGTGCATTCTAAGCAAAAATAAATAAACGGTGTTGCAGGTACTCAAGGAAAAAATCTTTATTAGGCATGCACATTTTTTTCCTTCTCAGCAAACAGTTAAAATTCCCTCTCTTACAACTAATTACTCTTCAGGTGCCATAGTAGTGCTACCAAGTGGGAAATTTAAAACAGAGACTTGGGCTACTTGCCAAGTGAAAATTAAGGAGGTAAAGAACCTACACAGCCACTGCAGGGTACACTCATGTTTTAGAGAGAGAACCCTGATTCAGACATATCAAATGGTTGTGAAGCACACATTTGTGTGTGGGATGCTATCTGGAAGTGAAGTTTTAGGATACTGCAAAGGAAATAATGGGTTTCTAAAAAAATAAATTTCACTATCAAGAACATTTTTATTGTTTCTTCTTAATACTTCTGCCACTTTAGATTTTAGAATTTTCTTACACAGGTAGAAAGTAAATAAACAAGCACACAAACTATGAAAAAATAAAAGGTTGAAACAATCTCTGGATTTAGGGAGACAAACACTTCAAGACTGCCAAAATTACAAATATCCAAAAATAAGCTTCCATAAACCACCATAACTATAATGTTCTGAGTAAAGTTAGTGAAATTGTGATCCTGGGCTAAGGTAGGTATAGCAGTCTAGCAACTGTAAACATTAACAGCATGGCTTGGACGAGATGCCATGTTGCCTAATTTATCTAAGAAAATAAATCCTTTAGCAGACAAGGGCAGGTGTTTGTGCAGTCAGTCCTTCATTATAGTCCCTGAGGAATCTAGAAGATCGACTCTAGATTTAAGATTTAAATGTTCCAGATGTTCACTTGGAGACAAATTTTACAGTTCATGCAACCTAAGGACTGTCTGGTATCTGTTGATTTTCAAAATATATGTACATGCATGGTTTTGTGTATTTTTCTTGAAGATTCACACAGATATGTTTGTTGTGTATATTTGTCTGCTCTAAAGAATTCAGAATTCTGGACTCAAGTTCTGGGTTTGTTTGGCCTCATAAATGCTTTGCAGTAATGTAGATTTCTGTCTTTGTTTCATTTCTGCAAAAGCAATTCCTTGCATATTTCTGAAAAAAAAATGACTGTGAAGTGACTGCATATGTGAGAGTCAAAGTTTACATTCTCCAAGGATTCACATTAACACTGAGTCAGGACCATCTGTACAGAAGTACAGTAGTTAGATTTTGCTCTCGGTGTATAGAAATGACAGCTAGAGCAGATACTTAATGCAGAAGCAATGGTATGTAGTATTTTCTTAGTTTCTAAGAAAAGGATTTGATAGAAATCATTGGAAAAATCCAGAAATTTTTTTTCCTGAAGTTTATTCCCTGCCCCCCATTTCTATCATTAAGTGACTGCTTTTAAGAAGTATGTTTATATTGCATACAACACAGTAGTTGCAGTTAGTTTTATGCAGTGTCATTCTTGTTACAAAATACCAGACAAAGTATATTGAATAAGAAATTAAAATCATAAGCAGGTTAAGTCACTAGCGCTTATCTTATTCACATCAAAGCTATTCACAGGTCCGGTGCTTAAAGGTACCATAGGATCATTCGTATCAGTTCTCCAGTGACAGGAAAAGCTGCATTTCTTAATGGAATGCCATGGTCATTTGCAAAGTGCTTGTGAATACTTCAGCAGGAAACCTGAATCTCAGAATACAAAAAAGTCAACCAGTCAAATGCTGGTTGGAGCATATCCTCTCCTTTGAAGAGGATAGTGTGAAGGTTTAAGTTAAGGGTTTTTTCCCTTTCAGCAGATATATCACTACATTTTTACTGAATTGGGAAGAAGCTTTTTGCTTTCTAGAAGACTGCATATTTTAGCTGTAGCTCAGACTACGCTTTTTTTCTGACAGCACTTCAAATATACCTCTAAACTTTATTCTGGCTATTTGACTTCACTTTTCTTTGAATTTTAGGGGAACTTTTTCCCCCTGAGCTCATAGTTTGTTTACCTGGTAGATTATCTGAAGCATAGAACATGAGCATGAAAAGCAGAAAAGTAAAGCGCAAAAGGAAGCTTTATATTCTTTAAAGGTTGTGTCTTTCTTTACATATTCTCTTGATTATTTTTGTCTTTTTTGCCCATCCAATGACAGCTCAGAATTCAGTGTTGCATCTATAAAATCAACATCACAGCTTCACTCCTCTTAGGGAGGAGTAAATCAGCCAATTTATTATTCAATTACACTGAAACAAAGAAGAAACTGATGATGAACCTAGATGCATTGTAAATTGTTGAACTTAACTATTATTTATACAAACATTTCACTTAGACTCTGGTTCTCCTGAAGGGATTTTTCACTCTTTAAAGATGTATTGTTATTTACATAGTAATTTTTGCATGTCTGTGATTTCCTTAAGTAAATTTTTAGAATAATCATGAAATTATAAACTGAATGCTCTTTGTAATTATCTTGCAGTAATTACTTGGGCAGGTTTTGTGGACTTTCTGTACAAATATTGTCCAGTTAGAAATTCTTGTAGACATATCCAATTGTTTCCTACCAAAACATTTTTACACGTGTCCTGGTTTTATTTTTTTGACTTCTCTTACATGAAAATACTCCAGAGCATTTGTGCATTTTTTACTAAGTTAAAAGAGCTTCTGCATTTAGTGTCATCTTTTCTAAATTAAGTGTTGGGTTTTTTCTTCCTCTGGTAGCATGAAAAGATATTTCTTGTTTTGTACATAAGGTAATACTAATCATACATACAGAATTTTTGAGTGATAAAATTTTATAAAGCATTTTAGAATTGTTAAAATTTAGAAGACTTTAAGTTAATCATAAATGGTAATTTTTACAAATAAACTTTGCAAGAAATTTCTTCTACATCAGTAGCATATGCAGGAATTCTTAAGTTCGTATATACAAGTAATAAAAAAAAGAGTAAAAACAGACATGTTCTAATGACCTCACATTTTAATAGATAAAAAATAATCTAAAAAGAATTCAAATTATTTTTGTTCTGTTAAACAATATCCCTTTCCATTCTTTCAAGCCACCCTTAAATCACTTCTTACTTTTATCTGTCTTAAAAATAAAACCCCTATATATGCCATATTTAACACTTTTGCCAAACTTGGTGCAAAACCATTTTTACCCCTATCCACCTTTGGCACAAAGTCTAATGAAACAATAAAAGAGTTCTGTGAAGATGTTTAGGAAAAGTCTATTCCCAAAACCACCAGGAGAATCATGATTTCTCTCCCCTTCCCTTCTTTAGGAGCATGTAGATAATCTGTTCCTAACTGCTTTTAATAAGGGTAGTTTAGGTTAATTTATGGGAACTGTAATATTTGGGCACAATATTCAAAAATATGTGAAGAAGGTTTCTCAAAAATATTTAAAAATCAAACCAGCAAATTTTCTCTTCTACTTTTTCTGAAAATACAGCAGACGTGAAAAGGTAAACCAGAAGGGATAAACATACGATAAAGCAGGATATACTACCTGCCCTTTCCAGAGTTTGCAAATACAATCTAAATGAGCAGAAGCTTATCTAATAATTGAACTAAACTATG